TATATTTATATATATACTGTTTTGCCTTTTCTTTATACAAGTGTTTATTCTTTTTACATTTCCTCATCTCCTCTTTTTACTTTACCACATGTATTTCTGTCTCAGTATACAAATGAGGAGGGCTGTAGCTCCTCTGCTCTTGGTCAATAAACAGGAAGGAGCATGATCCATGTGCAGATTGATGCATGTCTGCGTCTGACTTCAGTAATATGTATCTGGGGTGATTAACACTCAAAAATCTGACTTTTCTCTGGATTTGAATGCATCACAGATGAATCAGCCACTTTGCACTTCGGTCAGGAGCGACCTGGGACCACTTTGATTATTGTTTCTGGTTGGTTGGTGATAAGTGTGGGATGCGCTCATTTTTAGCTCATTCCACCATCAGTCTCACCCTTCTCTCTAGCTGAAAAAATATAAACCCTCCAACCCCCTTTTGGACCAAGGCGCAACATTATTTGACAAATGCCAAAAATCTACTGGAAGAAAAAAAGACTATGAAAGTTGAATGAAGTTTGGCAGCAATGGAGAGGTGGCAATATTTGGAGAAAGTAACTCAATACGCCACAGACTATTGACCTATGACATCACACTTTTCAGATGATGGTCCTTTATGACATAACGGACATTAAAACAACCTGTGTGTAAACTCCTGTACAGCTAGTCAAAAAACAGACAGTTGGGAGCCTAATCAAACAASCACAGTTGCGCCATTCAATTAGTCCATGGGCTAGAGTGGGTCACAATGCACCCCCACCCCCAAATGTTCCCACTACTTACCTCCACCAAGGGAGGAGGTAAGGTTTTCGGTTGCGTATGTTGGTCTGTGGACAAAATTACTCAAACTTGTGGACGGGTTGTCGTGAAATTTTTACCACTGGCCAAAAGAAAACAGCATTAAATTTTGGTGATGTTCCAGATCACGATGTGGATACAGGAATTTTTCTTTTAATTCGAGCGAATCAGCCAGGCTATGCAGTGTCATTACATCAGATGCATGCCTGTTGGAAACAGGAAGTACAACTCGCTAACTCACTGGGACTACACATCCCAGGATGTCTACTATCGGGAAAGTTGTGATTATTCTGTTATCAACTAGTTTTGGTGATTTTACACGCTGTCTGGAGACGTAGAAAAAGAAATGCGATTCTCTTCACGTTACGGGAATAACAGAAGACACCGACAGCGGGGGGAGGGTCCTGCTGCAGCCGAGCCGAAGCTGGACTGTCTGGTACCGGACCGGTACCAAACAGCAAGTACTGATCAACCATGTGAGGTACCCCCTCCAAATAAGAACTAGGGCTGTGTATTGGCAAGAATTTGGCGATACGATACATATCATAACAGAGGGGTCACGATACGATATATCCCGATATATTGCGATACTGTAAGCAAGGCGATATATTGCGATATATTGCGATTTTTTTGTCCAAAAATTCTATTAAATAAAAACCTCTTACTGAAATAAAACGAAAAAGAAAAGCTAATGTTTACTTACAATGCTAATGCTACCCTTACTCTCTGGCGCTCAAGAGGTAGAGGAGCCAAATGGCTGGCTCACTGCTGCCAACTAGTGGTCAGAGGCTGAACTACAACATAAAAATGAACGGTTGGCAAGAAGGTTGACATTTTAAAGCTTAAATAAAAATCGATACAGGGCTTTAGAATATCGATACAGTATCGGGAAATGAAATATCGCGATATTTCAGTGTATCGATATTTTCTTACACCCCTAATAAGAACTTTATTGTGTGATTGGTCAGAAGTTTGTGGGAGTGTTTGTTTGTGCTGAAAGTGCTCAGATAGGTATTTTGCTTCAACCACTCGCTTAAAAAAAAGGCGAGTTGTTTCCAGAGCGACTGTACCAGGAAGCAGCAGTTTATAAATAAGTCAAACCGTTAAAAACTCATAAAAGTGGATAAAACAGATGTTTTACATGGTGGAATCTGACTGATGAAAACTTTGGAGCTTAATTCGGGATCAGTTTGTGGATAAATAACATCGGGTAACGAGTCAGACTTTTTTTTTCCCGCATTGGACTCCACCGGGAAGAAATCCCATGCATACTGCCTGCATCAGGACTTATTCTGCAAATGTGTTTCCACCTCTCCTTCTGCGCATTAACTCTACTGCAGGATGGGGGGGAATTGGCCTTGGCGGAGGTTTGCACTCTCCGAGTGCGTCTAGTTCTGACTTTTTTCGCAGAGTTCTGAAATTAAAGTCAAAATTCTGACTATTTTTCTCAGAAGAATTCTGAGTCATTCCGACTTTAATCTCAGAATTCAGATTAAAATCAGAACTTATGAAAAAATTTATTTTGTTTTTGCTCTGTGGCCCTCTTCTGTACAAAGCTGATTGGTTGACTGCTTTAAGTAAATGTTTGAGTTAGACCAGTATATAAAAAAAGGAAAATATACAAAAAATGGGTATATATATTTTTATTACAATTCTACTTTCTCTGCTTAAGAATTATTAATATGATTTATTATTTATTAATAATTATAATTTTCTTTTGTTTTTATGAGAACTGCTTTCAGAAAAGACAGAGTTAAGAGTTTTTTTTAACCAAGGCTTTAAAACTGAATACAAGAAACTGGTTTAAAACAACGGCCTCTCAGGAATTTACCTCATTCATACAGAGATATGAAGATATCTGAGAAAATTCATTGACTGTTCATTGTTACATAGATTAAATCTATTTAACCTTCATGTCCTCCTGACATTTGTCTTCTCTAATACTGAATTGGGGCCAAAGAACTTCAAAGCCGTTAAAGTCAAGAAAATTGCATATCTAATTAAGAAATCTCCCAGAAAATATCACTTTTATCTGCGAGGAGAGATGGAGAGAGTTGAGGGAAGATGGAGCAGAAATGGATGGAGTAATTGGGTTTAAAACCAAAACTCAGATATCAAAACACTACACATCTTGCAAGCAGCTGTTGGCTCAAAGCAGGATGGAAGAGTCAACATAAAAAAGAAGGCTCAGCTCAAACAGACGAATTAAAAAAAGAAAAGGAATTTCAAACATTTCTGCTGGTAGTCTCCATACATGAAACAAAGCAACTGAGCACGAACGTTAAAATAATATAAACTGCAATACATCAAAAAGTTAGAATAATAATAATAACATGTGCAGCTTTTACCTCTAAGCAAGTGCCTGATTCTGGGACTTTTCAACCCAAAGGTTTACCTGCAGGGGAAGGTGGACGCTGACATGTGACAGGACAGAGATGGCAGGGAGGGACACTAACACGGCCCCGATCACGTGACGAGACACCCACCCTGAGACAAACAGGGCCAAGGAGCGAGTACAGCTCATCAGCTCGTCCAGATAAAACGTCATGCTGCACGAGACGAGACAAAGACAAGGARTTAGAAGAAAACAGCAGCTTCACTTCAAATCATTTTTAAAATCTCATTCTTCATTTTTTAAAATTACTTTTTTCCAGAAGTATTGTATATAAATAACACCTTGTTCAAGAGGTTCACATAAGAACAATCGTAGAAGACAGATGTACATTTTAATAATTAAACAGAAAAAAAACAGTGCAAAACCAATTAGGTTATTTTATACATCTTTATACAGTCATACTGTATAAAGATGACATAAAGATAATAAAAGAAAATATCTGCTTATTTTGTGCACATTTGCTTTTTCATACATACATGCCTATTTACACGTTTTTTATCAACAGCTAAAGATGGGGGCGAGTTTTCAACTTTTCTGAATGAGAAACAGAATTTAAACTGTGAAATACTAGATATCTAATCCAACTCTGGTTTTTAAATGCCTAAAAAGACGGACTTTTTAGGTGCTCAGTGATCTTTTGGATCCTCTGAGATCTTAGGGCTCTGTAACTCATGGAGCAGATAGTGGGAACTGTTGGGTTCCTTTTCTTAAAAACTTATTTTGGTTAAACAGATTTTTCTGCACAAGGGATTTCCATCTGGAATTCCCTACCTACAGATTTGAAGCAGATTTCTGACTGAAACTATTTTAGATCAAGACTGAAACATTTTCTGAAAGAGAAAAGGCTTTATAGTTATCAGTAACTGACAATTTTTTAATTATATGATTATGATCCGTTTTAAAAATAGTTTTATGAAATATTTTTAATGATGTAATGCTCTTGTACTAACCACACAAAGAAACTGGACCTACAAAAGGAAAGCAACCTTAAAATTATCCAAATAAAACTCCCCAAAATATTGTGTACATCACCAGTTTTATATGGAAACTGCTTAATGTAAAGAAGAACGATACAATTCAAACTGATCTATCTTTATTTCTGATTCAACCTTAAATAGACACTGCATAATTGTACAAGAATTGCATTGTAAACCTAAAACCTACACAATTTACACCCCCCCACACACACACTTTTTTCTCCACTGCCACAAAATTTTAAAAATCATGCAAAACAAACACAAAACCACCACCGATTTGACTGAATTGGCCTTCCAGTTTATCTTAATTCAACATCAAAAAACTAACAATGATCAGACCTCCATAGATGAGGCGTAACTGCTAAATGAACTCCAAGCCACCCCCAGGAAACAACTCCAATGGATCCTTCATGGATCCATTATCCATCCATCCATCCATTTTCTGTACACGCTTCTTCCTTTTCAGGGTTGCGTGGGTCACTGGTGCCCATTTCCAGCAGTCACAGTGCGAGGGGCGGGGTACACCCTGGACAGGTCACAAGTCCATCACAGATGGATCCATTAAAATAGCCCAAAAAGAAATGAAACAGAAAACCCTCCAACAGGCCAGAAACATGATAGAAGAAACCAGACTATAACTACAGCCAGTCCACCACAACAAAAATTCCAAGCAGGTAAAGAGACTCAAAAAGAAAAACACACAATTAAAGTAGGAGAAAATGACCAAAAACAAGGGACTACCAAATCCCAATTACACACACAAAACATCCCAACACAAACAGGGAAAGATGAACAAAAACAAAGGGTCGTAGAAACCCATTACATTCACATGACAACCAGTCCAAAAAATCCCCAAAACCATCCCCTGGACCTTCTAAAAAAAGCAGATTCCCACACAACCCTGAAAATATCTCTGAAAACAATAACTACCAGCCAAATGGCCATTTACACCACCCATAACCACCACTGGAACAAACTGGTTGATTGGCACCTTGCGCCTAACAAATCCATCATCATTATGGGAGATTGCAACTTGGAAAGTTTACTGAACCCCACTCATCCAGAAATGCAGGTTTACTGTTATCCAGGAGCACAAATCAAACACAGCACCCTTCAGAAAACAAAAACCACCAACGAGGTTAAAATGGTTCTCTTCTCGTTTGGCATCAATAACAAGGACTACCGAGACAAAAACTCCACACAAGGGAAAGGAAGATGAGGGAAAAAAAGCAAAAACATCATATTATATCAACACTGTGACACATTATGGTGTTTATGAAAAAAAAACTCTGCATAGAGCAAGTTTATTAGCCAGAGGAGTAAATGAGATTTAGGGGGCCCAAAGAATCCAGTCCCTAGACCAGCATAGCCATAGTTCAGAAATATTGATGGAAAATGTTAATTTCTGTGCAGCTTTCAGCCTGCTCTGGAAAAAAAACTGAATTAGACGGGTAAGAGGAGGGGGCAGGGAGGGGGGCAGAGCCGAGTCGACACATTCAGACCAGGAAGAATTAGTCAACAGATCCAAGGGCGTTGTCGGGGAGATCCAGATTCTGTAATCAGTTGTTTTGGGAACAAAAGAGACAAGCAGACAACAACAATTTTCCATCTGCTTTAGAGTTTCTGCTGGTACATCTCAAGGTGGCAAATCCAATCAGACAAAAAATGTGGACAAATTCCGCCGAGCCGAATCTATCAGCTTCTCCAAGATCAATTCCATCTGGCCAGCAAAGTCCAGGGACCGCAGCCGGCCTGCGACCCTCAATAGAACCGCTTGCAGACAGAGTCCAGCTCGCTCCAGGCAAAATGTCCGAGTTCTGATAGAATACGGCCATCCATCGAATTGGTCAGTCAGCCAGGAGATGAAAAGCCACCGACGCTGTTTTGCAGAACACCAGGAGACCACCAAGCCAATCTGTAGAATCCAGTGATCGGAGTCCAGACATATACAGTATCCAGAACAGAGAAGAACAGAGGTCCCACCTTTGACATGTCCTCCCCATGGAAGAAGAAAAAAACTTTGTTCCAAGAATTTTATTGAGAGACCAGCTAACCAAATCCAGAAAAATAAAAATATCCATGATTTCTTATTTCGGATGAAAATGTAGAGAAGGATCCAGCAGCAAAGCAGGGAAGATAAGGAAGGACAGGAGAGAAGGAAGAAGCGTCTTACTCGTTCGAGAGCGGAAACAAACAAACAAAAAAAACAAATATATATATATTTTAGTGAACACTTTTTAAAAAATGTACAACTAAAAAACATAAAATTTAAATACTCGAACATTCGAGCAAAAGTTTTTTTCTACCCTTTTTTTAGGTTTGGAAGTAAACCAATATGTCTTTGTGCTAATTTTGGAGCTAGAACTGATACTGTATTTCTCATAAAACTGGACATGATCCAGTTAGATTTACATTATTTCTCAGGTCTGTGCTACTAAAGCCCAGAAGATACATAAGATAAATAAGATAAGGGGTTCAGGTAAGATAAATATCACAGGAGTAGTGTAAAATGGAAAAAAAACACCCTGACTCATTGTCATTTGTCTCCTAAATCAGTGGCATTTAAAATAGTTAATATGTTGTGAAATTAAAAGCCTAGTATTCCCTGAGATGATGTATATCACCCACAACTTTTCATGCCAGGGTTTTAGACAAACACATTACAAGGAGAAGGGATAATGTAGCCATTTTGGTCAAACCTTAAAACATTAGGCACAGTCTCATGCAGTATCATGAGCTGTCAGGCTCAGCAGTAGAAACTGGGAAAGACTCAGCTTTTAGCTGTAAAACCAAGTTGAACTGGTTTGGCTCCAAATGTTAATCAGCTATAGATGCACACCCAAAGATTATTTTCTGCATGGCTTATTAAAATTGGTCCTGTTTCTTAAGATATTTTGGTAAAAAAAACAAAACAAATGCACACACAGGCAAAGACATCATTGTCCATCTCTTCCTTTTAATGATGAATGATAAATATATTTTTACTGGGATGTTGTTGAAGTAATTTGTAAAACTGTGAGTAAACTCATATCCACACAGGCACAGCCAMACAGGTGTTTTTTTGAGCCTGAAAAGCACCTCACCGTATGGAGAGCACCAGTGATGCCAACTCCAGCAGACCAGCCACGGGAGCCAGGATCAGAGCAGCAAGTGCTGGGGGGCCCACCAGAACTGGGTTCACCAGAGACGGCAGGAAGCAGGCCAGAGTCAAGGCCAGGAAGACAAAACAGCTGAGGAGAACATCCAGGAAGGAGCTGAAGGTGGGACTGGCAAACGTCTGCACCTGAACCCGCTTCCTCACCTGAAGGCAAACAGAGTTGTTGTTGTTTATTTATTCCAGAAGGGACAGCGTACTTTATTAAATATGCCAGTATAAACTTTGAAGGCTATAGTTTTCACCTGTAGTTCCTCAGAGTGCCATATATATATATATATATAT